TATGTATTGAAATAATTACTATCTCAAAGTTCATTTGGGAGTTAAGGATTCAGACTTAGCTGTAAAAATTGACATTCTTGTTTTGTTTTAGTGCCCTCCTCTCCTCAGACAGGCTCAAGAGCACTGCAGAGCCCCAACTTTTTATGGTAAAATCAAGATAGCAATGACACATAATTTGTAGGACAGCTGTGATGATCAAAGAAGTCATGGTCGGTGTAAAACCCACTGGAGAGTTATCTGACTTTACTCGGGTATTCATGTCTCAAACAGTTAGCACTTGAAGTGCAGCCACAGTCGAGTCTTTGTAAAAATTAGGCTGTCCACTCCTTTTTTCAATGCCTTAATGTTAGCAACTTTGTGGGTGTGTGATTTCATAAGCTCTAGCTGAAAAATGCAGAGGTCATGGAGCCGGGGAAACTAACTACTCAATGTCAAGAGACACCATCACAAGAGGGTGTGGTGTTCAAACAACCACAATGCTCTGGAGTCCGAGGCAGGAGGATTGGCCTGTGAATGATGAGATTCATTCTCAGAAACAAATCAAAAATGAAACCAAGAGACACAGTCAGAGTTTAGACTCCAAAGGGGACCTTTACACTCAAGAATTCATGTTCTCAAACAAGGCTTCTCTGTGTATATATCAATTAAAGCAATTTATTTCACTCCTCCCATATGCCTGGCATTGTCATAGACATTTGGGTGACAGAGGTGAAGAAACTCTGCTCTTGAGAAGATGCTACTTTTTCGTGGTGAAAAATATTTGCAAACAAACAATCCCAATGCATTGCTGTGCATTAGCCGTTGTCTTCTACTGGGGTCTCAGAGGCAGTTTACAGCAAGCTGAAAGTTTTCCTCCCAGCTCTGAACATCCCAAAGGCTGTATAGTAGGTATGAAGGGAGAACTACATCCCATATGTAAAAAGCCTCAAATATTTTAAGTCAGTTTTCATAAAGTTATTCTTGTAGCAACTAAGTGGAAACTATGAATTTTATATCATTAAAAACTAGGCCATATAAAAATAGCTGATTTAAAAATTAGTGGCTATTTCTATATGTTGTTTTACAGGTCTGGAAATATTTTGATAAAGGATAAGAGGAAAACTAAATACAGTTCATAAATAAAATCAATTAACTACTTAAATATTTTTGGGCTTAATTTTAATAAAACAGCTACTTACAAAAATTTTCACTTGATTTGTTAACTATTGACAGGGATATCTTGAACACCCAAAAATATACTTGTTTCCAAAATGTTGTAAAATTTTGATGGGCTTGATGGCTCACACAATACCCATGCTCACGACGGACAGTCTAGAGGATTAGGAATGTATGTCCTTCTTGGATACATAGTTCAAGGCCAGCCTCCATGTTAGGCCCTATCTCAAAATAGGCAAACACCAAAGTATATACAAATGTAACAAATTTTGACAGAAACCAGTACAAAAAAAATTTAAATTCTAATTCCATTTTTAAAAACATTTTTGTGGCAAGTTCTCCTGTATTCCAGATTGGCTTTAAACTTTGTATAGCCAAGAATCACTTTAAACTGCTAATCTGCTTGCTTATACCTTCCTAGTATTTTGTGTATATGGTGCTGAAGATTAAACCCAGGGCTTCATGTTTGTTGGACAAGCAATCTGCTCATGGAGTTACTCCTCAACACTCATACGTAATTTTCATACACAGTGGTGTGTTTTTTAAAGTATAATTTAAGATGAACAATTAAAATTTAAAAGCATTACGTAAAACTGAATCACTACATATTTTCATAAAAGAAAACAATTCCCAACTGTAGCAAGCATATTCATTTAGGGGCCAAATGAATTAGAAAGTAATGTAGTGCTTCCAGCCCACCTAGTGTTCAGGTATAAGAGTTGAGGCGAGCTGTTTAAAATGGCACAGTATTCCTTAGCTGCCATGTGTAGTTGCTGTGAATATTCGCCGAACTGTGAGAAGGCCTGGAACCATGAATTTGAGCACATAAGCAATTAAGAAAGTGCATACTTGGCTCTCTACTGGAAAGAGAACTTTGTTTTGTAAGAATCTATTTGCAAATTTCAGCTTGCATGTATGCCAGCAGACAAGAGTGACGACTGTGGCCTTGCTCTTGCTCAAGCACTCCTGCTGCAAACCCTCCCCCCATTCCCAAGCCTCGTTTAGTCTCCGCATTCAGGCTGGTGTGACCCAGTAGCCTTGTGTCACAGTTGCCTTTTGCTCCTAGAACACAGGTGGTCTAGAGAAGCGGAGGGGTATTTTATTAGGATCTGATCATGTTAGTCACTGCTGCTGATATTCAGGTGTGCTGTGCTGGTCTGAGGGTCTGATGATGAGAGACAGAGGCACTATGTGCTTCAGTAAATTGAGTTTTGCTTTCTTCTGCCGTTTTAGGGGATCAAAGTGTAGGGTATAGCCCGGAGCTCTCCTTGCTTACTGTGAGGGTTTACGTAACTACTACCTGCAGTAATAAGGGCTTCTCTTAGTTGAGGCAGGTATGTGTTTAGTCTTGAAGGAGATAGGCACCGTGATGTCTGTTACTGGGAATGTGAAAGGTACCCTGGTATGTGGTGGTGGAGCTTGTTCAGGGACTACAGATGTGTCTCTGTGGCTGAAACATGGTCCCTTGAGCTCAGCAGTGGCATGTGAGTCTGGGAGTCTTAGGTTGGAACATACGACAGGTCTTAAGGGCAAATTTTAAGGGCCTTTGCATTTGTTTCCCTGCAATAAGGAAATGAAAGGTTGTATACAAAGTAGGTATTTAAAATGCACTTTGGGTTCATGACATAGTTAAGAGTCAAATCACAATAGAGGCAGATGCGTAAGTTGGTGTGGAGAAGCAGTGATTCTTTTCACAATGAAGGTGTAGATGCCAGAAAAATAGAGATGTCGAGAGGGATATGGGCTGAGGGAGGAGTCTGGACTTATAGGTGAACAGGGGTATTGTAATTGTTTAAATGTATTGTATAGTAGATGAGTTTCTTGGTTTTTGTTTGTTTGTTTGTTTGTTTGTTTGATATCTCTAGCTTACCATAACACATCTTCCCCAGCAGCCTGCTAAGTCAGCCCCACCAGAGGGAACTATCAAAAAAAAAAAAAGAGTCCATATCAGAGATAGCCCCCACTCCCCTTACTAGGAAACCTACATGAAGCCCAAGCTGCCCATCAGCTACATCTGTGTAGGGGGTCTTAGATACAGTCCATGCACGGTCCTTGGTTGGTGCTTCAGACTCCCCAAGTCTCTCTGGGCCCTGGTTAGTTGGCTCTGTTGGTCTTCTTATGGAGCTTCTTTCCCCTCCGGGTCCTTCTATCCTTCCCTTAGTTTTCAACAAGACTCCCTACACTTTGCCCAGTGTTTGACTGAGTCTCAGCATCTGTTTCAATTTGTTGCTGGGTGGAGCCTCTCAGAGAATAGGCTACTGTGTACGAGCATAGCAGAGTATTGTTAATAGTGTCAGGGATTGACTCTTTTCTGTGGGGTGGGTCTCAGGTTGAAATCCTGGCTTCTATTTTAACCTTAAACAAACAAACAAACAAACAAACAAACAAAACACAGGTCATAAAATATAGATCTTAAGAGTCCTCTAAACAAGTGTTTCTTAAATTAAGTTCTTTTTTGTTTGGCTCTCAGGATGATGGCTTTAGAATCAAAATGGAATTATTAGGGTTGGAGAGACGGCTGTGAAGTGCTTGCCACACAAGCTTTAGGATGTGAATTCAGATCCCCAGCACCCACATGAGAACTGGTTGTGCAGCTTTTGTCTGTGAACCCTACTTTGGGGAGACAGAGACAGGGCTACCCTGGAGCTCATTGGTCAGCCAATCTAGCCAAATCACTGAGCCTCATATTCAGTAAAGATCTAGTCTCAAGAAAATAGAGAGAAATTGAGGAACACATCTGAAATTGTCCTCTGACCGCCACATGCACCGGAGTGCGCGTGCGCGCTCGTACTCACACACACACACACACACACACACACACACACACACACACACACACAC